GCCTGGCTCCGCCTGAGGGTCCTCCGTGGCTGCGGCTCCTGCGCCTGCGACCTCAGCGACGGACCTGACCCGGAACTGCTGAGCGGCGGCGGGACCTCGTCTCCGTCTCGTCCCGGGAACCCCCGGCCCCGAGCCCCCACAGTCCGGTTTCTACCCGGAGCCGGAGTGGAGGCTGTCGGGGCCGCGCGGCCGCGGTGAGGGGCAAAGGTGCGTGGGGCTGGCGGCTTCCGGGTTTCGGGTGGACTCCAGGCTCGGGAGGGAGGCCGCGGGTCGTGGCCGAGCTGCCTGCGGACAGGCCGACAGCCCGGGGTGAGGCGCGAGAAGGGGAACCGCGCTGCTGCGAGTCTGTACGCAGGTCCCAAAGCCCTAAGTGGGCGGGGAGCGGTCGGTGGAGCAGCCGGGCGGGTGCGGAGCTGCCACCCGCGCTCCGGAGCCCAGCGCCACACAGTGGACAGGGACTCCGCGGTGACAGACGTGCCGTGTGGGAATCCATGGTGTCCATCAAAGGCGGGTGGCCACCCTCTCACAGCTGTGGAAATGAAATTCGGCGGGAGCGGAGAGGACGAGGGGCGGCGGGAGAACAGGGTCCAGTCAAAGGGGTCACCCAAAGCGTCACCAAAGAGGGACCTTTAACCTCGAGTGGGCTGAAGGTGAGGAGTTGGGCGCCAACCAGAATAACCAGGTAGGTAGGAAGCGCCTGGGATCCAAGTGGCGGCCGCTTCCGGGATCCTTGCCCAGAAGGCACACACTGAGGGAAGTCCCTTAGTCCCTCAGCTTCCATCCCACAAAACTTCGATTTTCAGGTTAAACTCTTAAACTTAAGGCCTCTCTAGGTTTCATATGAGGGGATGTGACCCAATTTAACAGTTATGCAGAACCAATGGTAGAGCGCGTAGATTGACACCCTGTAATTAAAAAACAGGACTTTCTAAGGCAACAAGTAATTTTCTACTGAAATTTCCTATGTAAAGAAAATAAACAAGAAGAATTATTGTTCTGGAAAGATGTACCCACATGTTCACAGAAAGAATAAAATATGACTTTGTCATGTTTCTCTTATGATTAATAGTGGTCTGTTTTTTTCTGGAAGGGGTATAAATACAATTTGTTTCTTTTTAAAATATATAGTTGTAGATGGACACAATGAATGTATTGTTTTATTTTTTATGTGGTGTTGTAGATGGAACCCAATGCCTCACACTTGCTAGGCAAGCACTCTTCCACTGAGCCACAACCCTATTTTGATTACTTTTTGAGGTCAAGACAATTAATTCTTCTTGTTTTTAATTCACCACAAATTTCTCTTGTAAGTGTAAGAAAATTGATATCATTTTGTATTCTGACTTTTGCCAGTTTTTCTTTTTTTTCAGGTAATTCGTTTGACATAGAAGTCTTCTTTGAAAAACTTTGTGTATTATTGAAGGATGGCAGAAGCAGTTTTGCTTGATCTCTTTGGTTTGAAGTTAACCTGTCAGGAAAACTTCTATGAGACATTATTGAAGACATTGAATGCCATCCAATACCACCTTGCTGCCAAGGCCAGATTTCTTTGCATAATGGATTGCAGTAAAATGAGCTGTGAAAGGGATGGTGAACATGATAATTGTGAACTGGAAACAAGCAATGGATTGTTAACTCTTATGAGAGAATTTGAGATTGTTAGAAATCCCAGCATGGCTGCCTCTTTGTATACCATTAAACAAAAAATAGATGAAAAAAATCTGAACAGCATTAAGGTAATTGTACCTGCACACAGGAAAACCTTAATGAAGGCTTTTATTGATTGTCTCTTCACTGAGGTTTACAATTTTGAGTTTGAAGATTTACAGGTGACTTTGAGGGATGGCCTTTTGAAACAGTCCACTGAGATAAACACAATCACAGCTCATAAACTAGAAGAAATCCAGAGTGAAATAGAAACATATTTGAGAAGTCTGCCAGCACTGAAAGGAGAATTAACTATTATCACATCTCCTTTGATTCCAGGTATATTCAATATTCTCTGTTGTTTTTCTGTATATGTGAAAAATCCAGTCTGTCTTCAGAGGTTGCTCACCTCTCCCCACCCTTTCTTTTGTTCACTTACTGGTCATTAGTATCATTTGCAATGTGTGTTATGGATGGCCTTGTGAGTCAGGGGTGAAAAGAGAAAACTCCTTCAAAGCCATACTAAATAAACAAATTTGTTCTAAACAAATTTAGCTTTAAGCAAATTTCCCAGCCCTTCCTTATAATGTGATTTATAACACTGGAAATCTTTTATTTAGAAATTCTGAAACATCAACTCATTAATACTTTCCCAGAAGGGTGAAATTTAAAATAGTCAATCTTCCTTCTTGGTTAGACAATATTTACTGTGAGCTGTGTGCTGTTGGTACAAAAAAGACAAGTGAGACAGAAGATACCCTTTGAAGAGCAGTAATCCCATATGGAAGGTAAACAGCAGTAGGTAATAAGAACATATGGAGGTACAAAGTGCTGTCAAAATTAGAAGCCAGATAAATAAGAGCTGGTTGAAGTGATCAGGGAGGTCTGTTGGAGAGACTGGCTTTTGTAATGCTTTGTAGTCTTTTGGGAGAATCTTTTTAATCATCATTACTTGTCTTCAACAGATATTTTCATACATGGATTTACTACAAGAACAGGTGGGATATCTTATATACCAACTCTTAGTTCCTTCAATCTCTTCAGTAGTTCCAAACGAAGAGATCCTAAGGTGGTTGTTCAAGAAAATCTACGTAGGTTGGCAAATACTGCAGGATTTAATGTGGAAAAATTTTATCAAATAAAGGTAAAATTTTGTTTTGTATTTTGAACCGTTTTTAGACCACACCAGTAACTAAATGAATTTTAATTAAGGTATTTCACTTTTGCTTTTGGTGTTTTATCTAAAATTTTAGGAGTTGTTTTCTTAGATTTATATATCATAGCCTAAAGATCAATTTTATGAGATATATAAATGTCATAAATATATATTTACATAAATCTCATATTTATATAAATCTCATTGTATATATACACACACACACACACATACACACACACACACACACACATGGATTACTTTTTTTATTCAGTGGGTTACCATTGGTAAGTTACCATTGGTAACCCACTGCAGCTCTTCAATTCTAAAAGTATGGTTAATTCTTAGTATAGTAACACTGCCCTTTTTGATGTAGAAGAAAGATTCCTAAAGAATAGGAAAGAAAAGCCATTTTTTCTAAAAACTAGCATCATAATTAAGGAATAATGTCTTGTTCCTTACAAAATTCTAGCTTTATTTGAGTCTAGGAAAAATAAATGCAATATTAATTTGATAGTTAATTAAATTCCTCATTAAAATGTTAAATTTCTACTTTTTGGAAGACTAGTACCCATTTCAAGTATAAGGTCTTCACGATGAATTTTATTAAACTCTTAAGTGTTAAGACCTAGTTTCCTTTGAATAAAATATGCAGAGATATTGTATTTAGTATTTTGTATTGAAATGATAGATTTATTGAATTCTAGTAATTTATGCTCATTATGTAATTTTGCACTCAAATAAGTACTTACAGAAAAGCTTATGATATGAGAAACCCAATTTTCAAAAACTTTTTATAATGTATCTTTGGTATTAGACTGATCATGCCAATGAAGTCTGGATTATGGGAAGGAAGGAGCCTGAATCTTTTGATGGAATAACTTCGAATCAGAGAGGAGTCACAATAGCAGCTCCTGGTGCTGACTGCATACCTATAGTTTTCGCAGATCCTGTCAAAAAAGCATGTGGGGTTGCTCACTCTGGTAAGTATACTTAATTAAGCATTTAGGATTTTTTCTAAATTTTTAGTACAGGGAAATAAATTTTTCTAGTGGGTGTAAAGTTAATTATATTACTTTGTGATAGGGGTGGGGTGGCATACTCTTATTATAGGAGCAGATAAAGGGAATATATAAGTCAAATGATATGAATCAGAGTAGAATTCCCAAAGGAGTTGGTCCCTAGGTAGATTCCTAAGGATCCTTTAGTGTCAGTGTTTGCAAGCAAGGATATTATTAACATTAGGGGGTAAGATAATCCTACTGTGCCCTTGAAAGTATCTTTGGCCCTTGCAATTCTTAATCCCATTAGTACCCCCAGTCATTGCAATAATCAAACAGCAACCCTCCATGCTTGTCTAAGCACTGCCTAGGGACATGGTGCTGCCTCTGTTTGGAACCCTTGATATCCAGGCACCAGGGAGTAGGAATGTCAGGCAGGTGTAGAAAGTAATTCACGCAGATGTAGCAACAGATGTAAAAGTAGGGAGTTAAAAAAAACAAGACATGTTTGGAAAACTGCTTTTAGTTTAAAAAGCTATATGTATTTAACCATAAGTGTTGCTGAAGAGCACAGATGTACTTTCACATGCTATACTAAGGTTACAGAATTTTTTTTGTGTGAAGGTATTGAAATAATATTTAGATTTTCCTGTGGTTATGGTTCTATGTGGAATGAGAAATGATGTTTTGAATTCCCTATTAGTTGTAAATCTGTGACTACTTTGATATTTAGACTATAAAGAAGAAAGTGACATGTTTTTCTTTTGACCTAACTAAATTAATGGAATTGGTTGAGAAGTAACATTTATCATATGACATTGTCAAAAGTTGTTTAAGTTTTGAATCTCAGTTCTTGGTTTTAAAAAGGATATATTATTTAATAATAATGTTTTGAAATATTTAGTTTTAAGGTGTCTCAGATGAAGCAGTCAAAATGAAGTTATAAAAGTGAACTTTCACATTATAATTTTTAACCTTGAAATTATTTTATCAGATATCAGAGAAAGTATAAAATTCTTCTATATGATTAATTTAATAAAATTCTTCAGCCAGATGTATATATTTGCATATGCATGTCCTTCAGGAAAGAAACAAATAGAGAGGAGATGAATATATTATATGTGTGTGAATAATTAAGGAAGGCCTCCAAGGCAGACAGATGCTCTTATCCATATAAAAGCCTTGACAGTATCTCTTTTTAGCTCAGAATGCTTTTTTATAGTTGCTTTCTTCTGAAATCACTGCCTGTAATTTCAGAGGTAGCTGAAAATCATCATGTTAAAAATGCAATATGTTTTTCCTAATGCCTTCTCTACCACATTGGTTTCCTATTTTGGCCACTGATAATCCACTTACTTACCTAGAATCTGATATTTCATTCTGTTCTTTCCATAAACCATATATCTAGTGGGTTCCCAGGAGAAGTTTATCATCTAAATATTTCTTGCTTTCATCATCTCCTTCCTTTATCTGGAAAGATTGGTCTCTTCACCTGAGTGCTTAGTTTTAGAAGCATATACATATGGAGTGTTGAAGGAAGGAGTAAGAGGGCTCCTTACTGTCCAGCTAAATCAGCTGAATCTTACTCCCAATATAGGGAATAAAGGAAAAAAGCAACATTGTTTAGTTTTTGTCTTCTAGAAGTAGATGAGAGCAGGAGAATGGTTTAATCTTAGAATTCCACAGGATCCAACAAAGAGAAAGGGAAGTTTGTAAAAGGGAAGGTTAATTGAAATAGATTTGATTTACATATAGAAAGTGAGGTAGAAATGAAAACTACAAAATATTGCTAAAAGAAATGAAAGAAGAAACAAACAAATGTAAGAAATCCCATGTTCATGGATTGGAGGACTTATTATTGATGTCAGTATTACCTAAGGTGGTCTACAGATTAATTACAAAATCCCAAAGGCACTTTTTCCTAAATAAATCCATCTTGAAATTTCATTCGAATCTCAGAGGGCTCCTGATAGTTACAACAATCTCAGGAAAAAAAAAAAAAAAAAAGAAACAATGTTAAATGACTCACACCTCTGAAAACAGTATGGCAATTCCTCAAAATTTCAAAATAGAATTGTCATATGATTTATCAACTATATTTCTGAATATACATTTAAAAGAATTGAAAGCATAATCTATAATATTAATATTAGTATCCCACCCCATGTTTATAGCAGCATTATTCATAATAATTATGAATTCATGAATTCATAATTCATGAATAATTATTCATAATAATACAATATTAATATCCTGCCCCATGTTTATAGCAGCATTATTCATAATACTTAAGATGTGAAAGCAAACGAAAAATCCAATGACAGGTGAATGAATGAACAAATTGTGGTATACCACAATAGAATATTATTTAGCCTTAAAAAGGTAGGAAATTCTGACATATACTAAATCATGAATGAGCCTTGAGATCCTTATGCTAAATAAAATAAGCCACTCCCCAAAAGATAAAAACTATGTGATTCCAATTATAGGAATATCTAGAGTAATAAAATTTGTAGAAACAAAGAAGAATTGTGACACCAGGGACTGAGTGAAGGGAGAAATTAGTTATTTAATGGATATAGAGATTCAGATTTGCAGAATGAAAAAGTTCTGCTGGAGTTTGGTTATACAACATGGTAAATATACTTAATACTACTGAATTGTACACTTAAAATGGTACAATTTATATATTTCTTACCACAATTAATATTTTGTAAAGAGAGAAGACTAAGATGGTATAAATGAAGCATATAGAAAATTTTAAAGGAAGAGTACAGTGACTCTCATTAAGTAGCTTTTCTGTGTCATGTATTTTGTAATAGTACATCTCACTTTGGAAAAAGTACTGTGTAATAATTATGTGAATCAAAAACTCAATCTATTCATTTTTAACTTAGACACAAATTGAGTTGAAATTTTATGCTGTAATCTTCCTTATCTCTTTTTCTTCCTGTTTACCAGGCTGGAAAGGTACTTTATTAGGAGTTGCTATGGCTACAGTGAATGCTATGATAGCAGAATATGGCTGTAGCTTAGAAGACATTATTGTTGTACTGGGACCTTCAGTAGGACCTTGCTGTTTTACTCTTCCCAGGGAATCAGCAAATGCATTTCATAATCTTCATCCTGAATGCGTACGACTTTTTAACTCACCCAGACCCCATATTGACATCCGTAAAGCCACCAGGTATGTTTGATTTCGCTGTGGAACTGCAAGTTTGATTATTGTTTATTGCTTCTGAAATGAAAATTATTTTAGAGAATAATTGCTAACTCCAAGAAGACAGGTGGCAGATATACACTGCAGTCACTACACAACACACTACACTACACAAAAACTCATTTTAAATATAAAATCTATTCTCAACCTGTTCAAATGACATTAAATTTCTTATCTGGTGTCTCTCATTGATTTGAAAATGAAGGAAAAAACAGCTGGCCTTGAAAAAGATTAAATTTCTACTTCATATAGAAATACTGGCATTTATTTGATATTACAGTTATTCCTCAGGTAAACTCTCTAGAATATAAAAACATTTAGAAAGCTAATATTTTAAAATTGTTCATATTTTCTAATTAATTAGAAGGATATATGTTTTCGAAACAATATCAGGTAATATAAATACACAGCCACTTTTCATTTTTTTGTGGTCTCATGCATCTTGAATTTTAAAATTTTTGCTTTTAATGTCTTTTGAAAAATATTTGTTATTTCTACAAAGGAAATTGATAGATGATTTGAATTGTGTTTTTATTCCAGTCAGTAAAACCTTACTCACTTAACACCTAAGTGTAAAGAATTGGAATTAATTCTTGATTTGACTTGTCAAATAATATCACTAATTTTCATTCATATTTCATATCATAAAGTTTTATAGGGAAACACGTTTTCATTGAAAAATACAGCTAATTAAGAGGAAAGGAGATAGATGGTTACATCACTAAAAAGCATGCTCTCTCTAAACCAAATAAATCTTGGTAAAAAATACTCTTGTAGTTTGAAAAATTTCTTCTTAAGTAAGCCCTTGATTTTGATTATAAAATTATGTAACCAGATTATGTCTACAGGACAGTATAGAAGTTCATACAGTTCATTTATAAATTTAGGTGATAAAAATCTACCATTTCTTAGCTAGTCCTTGTTGTGTACTTAAGTAACAATTTGCATTATTCCTGCCAGATTTTTTATAGAACTCTTTTACATTGTTTTACATACTATTTTCATATTTCTTTGGCATTTGGTAAAATAAATGCTTGCTCTCTTTCAAAAAATCTTTATTCTAAGGATTCTTCTAGAACAAGGAGGAATTCTTCCACAGAATATTCATGACCTGAACCAGGATCTCAACCTTTGTACATCTTGCCATCCTGACAAGTTTTTCTCCCATGTCCGAGATGGCCTTAATTTTGGCACACAGATTGGCTTCATATCAATTAGAGAATGAGGTACTGGGTTCTCCCTTCCCTCTCCAGTCTCTCTTGCTTCTTTCTGTGACTCCCTCTCTTTTTCCTTCTTTCTTTTCCTCTCTTCTTCTTCCTCCGTCAACCTTTTTTCTCCCCTTATTTAAAAAAATAATTAAGTATACATAATTTTACCCTTTTATTCCTATAAAAAGAATATATTTTTAATGAGACCGTAGTAGTAACATATTCTATTATAAAAATGAGCCATTCCTTTTCCTAGTTAGTGAATAATCGGGCAGGCTTATAATAAAAGTACTACAATTAACTGATTTAGTTTTTAAAAAAATCCTGTGTGTAAGTTCTTTATGTTTACTATGTACTTGATATCTATACATTCCTATCATATCATCTTAATGCTTTTTAAAAAAATTTGTTGAAATGATATCTTTGCATAAAGATTCTAAATTCTAGAATAAAAAGAAATCCACAGTATACAAATTGAATTAGTTTTCAGCTAGATTTCCAACTGCTATCTATAGTAGAGTTGACCAGATTTTTCTTTAAAGGGCCAGATAATAAATATTTTATGTTTTGTGTGATATTCAGTCTCTATCTAAATTACTCACCTTTGCCAATGTGGAGCAAAAGCAGACTCTGACAGAACAGAAGTGTGTCTGTGTGCCAGTTAAACTTTTTTTTTTAAACAAAAAACAGGTGAAGAGCCACATTTTGCCCACAGGATATAGTTTGCTGACAAACTATATCACACACAGTGATAGAGCAAGGTTGAAGGTAATTTCATTAAAATAGTATTTATTAGATTTTTTTTCAGAGTTATACAAAAATATGTCATGACATTGATTTAACACTGCCCCTTTAGCATATATGCAATTTCTCTAAGGTTACTTTTCGTTGAAGTAATACTACGTTTAGACTTTACAATATCTTTAGGTTTTTAATATGTAAAAAATAGATAGGCATTATGATTCCTACCTTGGTATTCTAATAGTGCTAGAAAAGGTCTTATATTATGTTTCTTTGTATTTTACAGACATTTGACTGGATTTTTGAATAACTTCCTGTGTCCTTCCAAACTGAATGCAAGAGAAAAACTACTATTTGATTTATGTAAAACCAAGAGGATTACAATGGATAATTCATCTTTAGGGTACATTTTCTCTTTTATTACCAAAGCCAAATGATTTTCACTGAACTTTATTGCTAACTGCAGTGACTTGGGAGGCTGAGACAGGAGGAGCACAAGTTCAGGGTCAGCCTCAACAACTAAGCGAGGCCCTTAGCAACTCAGTGAGATCCTGTCTCAAAATGAAAAATAAAAAGGCTGGGGATATAATTAAATCACCTCTGGGTTCAGTCCTCAGTTCAAGAAAGAAAGACATTATAATGAAACTGACAAAATAATCAGTATAAGTATGATGTTTTACAGATGAAAATGATTCTTTGGTATAGTCTATTGAAATGAGGAATAGGTCTGCTCAGTTTAGTATTTAGTAGACACTGTCTTTGTCAGATATTGTGCTATCCAAAGTGAATCAAAATGAGTAAGACTTTTCCCTTTGGGTCTACTGCAGTAGAGGAGATGAACACTTTTTGAAACTGAAATGTACTTTTAATGACAGTAGAAAGAAGGCAATCACAGACAGTGTTATAGAGAAAATGACATATACATAGATCCAAAATGAAGAGCAGCCATAAGAAGTAGAGGGAACACCATGATCCAGGGCATGAAATTGTGAAAGTTTATAACATGTTCTAGAGAGAGAACAGAGTGGCCAGAGTTAAGAGTAGAAAAACAGGTTGCAAATAGATTAGCAGGATCCCAAATGCCATGTCGAAGAGTTTGGACTTTATTTTCCAGATAGTGTGAAAGCATCAAAAATAGAGGAGTGTTTTGATTTCCTTGTCATCCATTCACAGGATGGATTCAAATTTTGAGAGACCTAAACCAGAGAGATTAGATAAGAGGCAGTGAAAATATTTCAAAAAAGAAATAACTAAGCCCCAATGAAGACAGTAGACATTAAAATGGAAAAGAGAGTAGATGCATTAGAGAGACACTTCAGAGATGGAATCAATAGATTATGTGAATAGATCACGGAAATGAGAAGGGTGCAAGAGTGGAGAAGTCACTGATGACTCTAGAATTTTTGTTCCACCAACTACCATGAGTGGTAACAAAGGAAGGGAGGAGGTTTTGGAGAAGGGAGAAAGGTAGTGAGTTTCACTTCAAACAGAAAAAAGACCATGCAGATGGAAATATTTCGAAGGTACCTTGAGACAAACACATGGATTTAGAAGTTGGCTATGCCAAGAGGATGCCTCAGTCTGTTGGAGCAAGTTGATCATCTAAGAAAAAAAATAGGGTGAGCAATATAGAGGTACAAGTATAGAACCTCATAGAACACCTGCATTTGACGAACACGAAGGTGAACCAGTTACAAAAAATAATTATAGAAATAAATAGGGTTTTGCTGTTTTGAAGAAGCCAACATAGTTATGAGAGGTGCTCAAAAAGAAATCTTCAGGTGTAAAATAAAGCAAAAGCTGAGAAGAAAAATTAATGGCTTGGCTGTATTGAAGCTGTTCTGCAGCCAGTGGTGGCCAGGTCAGATGTTGGTGCATTGAGGAAGAGGAGGCATAGGTGTCCATTCTTTGACAATATTTGCTTGAGAAGAGAAAAAGCTTGAAGAAAGATATATATATATATATATATATATATATATATATATATATACACACACACACACACACACACATACATTTGAAGAAAGATATATATACATTTTTGGTTGAGTTATTTGTAGGCTAAAGAGAAATGTTAAGCTTCATTTAATTTGGGGAAATATTTTAAATGTAAGTTATCATGTTGCATCTTAAAAGATTTTAGATTTTGTAAATTTCATGCATGTATTTCTACATGTATATAATGTAGTATAATAACAGCAGATATCTTTTATTTATTTTTTTGGTATGTGTATTGAACTCAGGGGCACTGGACCACTGAGCCACTTCTCTAACCCTACTTTTTATGTTTTATTTAGAGACAGGGTCTCACTGAGTTGCTTAGTGCCTTGCTTTTGCTGTGTCTAGCTTTGAACTCGCAATTCTTCTGCCTCAGCCTCCCAAGCCACTGGGATTAAAGGCATGGGCCGACATACCCAACTCAAATATCATTTTTTTAAAATATATACAAAGGACTTTCATATTTATTACTTTATTTTGCCTTTACAGTTACTATGAAATACATAGGTGTTTGGAATTCAAAATCATGTAATTTGTGATTTTTTTTGTGTGTGTGTATGGTAGAAGAGATTGAACTCAGAGGGGCTTTTACCTCTGAGCCACATTCCCAGACCTATTTTCATTTTTATTTTGTTTGTTAAATTTTGAGACAGAGTCTCACTAGGTTGATTAGGGCCTCACTAAGTTGCTGAGGCTGGCCTTGAACTTGTGACCCCCTTGCCTCAGCCTCCTGAGCCACCGGAATTACAGAAGTGTTTGTTTCTCCTAAGATAAGATTTGAGCACAGATTTTGTGTATCCAAATCTCCATTCAGATTTATCGTTAATTAAAAATATCTAAATTTTATGTTCAACTTTATTCATACATTCAGTCAAAATTTTGTTGAGGTACTACTAGGATAGGTTAAAAACATATAGTTGCAACCCCCAAAATGTTTCATATACTGAAAACTGGTGGTCAATAGACCAAACCAGCAGTTTCAATACTGTGTTTGGAGGTGGCCACAACTGGGTACCTTGTTTTGTTTAATTTTTCTGTGCATTCGATAGCCCACTGTGAAGCTTAAAAAAAAAAAACAAAAAAAGCAAAAAAAAAAACTCATTTCTTACCAGTTCAGGGAAGGCATCGAATACAAAGCACAGGATAGAAATTTCAAACTCATGCAAAATATTCTTTTGTTTAATAGTAACAATATAGATCAAGGAAAAATTTTACTATTTGAAAAAGTTTGATAATTTTCTAATTCTTTCCTGTGTGTAATTTTATTTGATATTTATAATTTCTTCACTGTGTGATCAGCTTTATTTTCCAGATTGTAAACTTTGTCATTATCTGACATTCTTCCTTCCAAGTGATCTAGTCTATTGGTTATGCCTTCTGTTGAGTTTTTTGATTTATTGTATTCATTAAATCCTTCATTTCAAGGATTTCTGACTGTTTTTTTTTTATCTCCCTTGAAGTAATCTTTTGCTACCTGTATTTGCTCTCTTATCTCATTGTTGGAGTGATCAATTTTTGCTTATATTTGCTCTTTTAGGTCATTCTTTAATTCACAGATCAATTTAATGATGAACCTTCTGAACTCCTTCTCCACTATCCATGGGTTCTGTTATTATAGTGTCCTGGTTTGTTTGGGACATTTTTCTCACTTGTTTTTTCATGATGTCTATGTGTTTTCCTTTCTTGCAGTGTGGATCTGAGATATTACCGATTCTTCCCTATATTCTTGTAGTATCCCTACAAATTGTCTGTAGTTCACCTTGATGTTGGGCTTCCAGATCCTGCTGGTGTCCCTCAATGGATGCTGCTGCATCCTGGATCTGGGACCTGCATAAGTTGGAGTGGGTAGATCTGGGCCACTGAGGTTGACCTCCCATGGTAGTGTGCTGGTCAGAAGGGATGGTCCTGCACCAGAGGCTAGGCTCTGGCAAGTGTATGCCCCACCGGGAAAGGGCTGGGCCAGGCATGCTGTGTGCCTGGGCCCTGCAGAGGCATCTGGCCTTCTGGGCTTGACCTCCAACAGTAGTCTGCTGGTAGGAAGGGGCAGTCCTGCCTCAAAGGCTAGGCTCTGGCAGTGTCTGCCCTGTTTGGGGAGGGGTGAACCCTGCCTACTGATATCCTGGATCCCATGTGGGCTGATGTGGGCCTTCTGGGATGGATCTTGGCTCCTTTGGTAGTCTGCTGGTCAGAGGGGGCAGCCCTGCACCAGAGGTTAGGCTCTGGCGAGTGTCTGCCCTGCCCGGAAAGGGGTGGACCAGGCCCTCTGTGCATCTGGGCCCTGCAGAGGCTTGTATGGTTGCCATTTTATTAGTAAGAAGAATGAAATTTTTAAATCAAATGAATTCCTGGGATGACTTTTATGGAAGTATTAATTATCAAACTGAAGTTTAATAGGTCACATAAGATGACCTTGTCCTCTTTATCTAATTATAATTTCAACTTATGAAGAATTGCATGGTGGCTGTACTCCAGTGCTTTATAAAGCAAAGAGAGGGCTTGAGCACTAGCTGGCAGAATTTCTAGGAGTGCCTCTGCTGTTTCTTTGCATGAAATTGAACCAATCTCATTTTATCTACAATTTTCTTATGGGAAAAAAAATAAAAAGGAGAGGATGATGTTTAAAATGACTGAGTGTATTGTTCTTACTTTAGGCACAACATTGTACTTGAAGTTGATAAAAGCATTTAGGAACCCTTAATCTTCTGCACAATTGTTAGTAACGACTTTTATGTGAGTTGACATTTTGGGGGAATTTAGAAGCTTATACTATGTTACAAAACAAAAACTGAAGCTACTGATGAGTTCAAAATCTGAAATATAAGAGGATAGTAATATATGAGTTACATTGTTTTAATCTCAAAGTGGATTTCAGATGTTTTTACTTGGTTGTCCTAAATTTATATGTAAAAGATTTTTGTTGTTGTTGTTGTAGATGGACACAAAGCCCTATTTTGTTTATTTACTTTTATGTGGTGCTGAGGCTCCAACCCAGCATCCAATTCCAGGCTCCAAATTTACATTTATAATGTATCCATCTTAATTTTTTTTGTAAACTCTTAGAGAATGCTACCAATTAATGGATTGAGCATTTTTAAAGAAACGTTGTTCAGTTATCTTGTTTTTTGTGTGTTTTATACATGGGTCTCTGTGTTTGAAGTACAAACAAGAAATGTGCATGTGTTAGGTGTAGTATGCAGCCTTATTGCTGTACCTAATGTCAGTTCATATGTACAAACACATTAGCTGCAGTGAAATCATAGGTTTTTCTATAAATTTTTTTAAAATAAATTGTGCAGCAAAGAATAGGAAGCATGACAGGTATGCTTACTGGATGTGTTTATGGTAACCTGGTCTAGGGCACATACATTTCCATTATAGACAGTGTTTTTAAACTTTGCTTGTGAT